GTACTCGTTGATCCGCGCAACAGTCAAAGTCGCCATCTTTGTTTATATGAGACCCATATATCTCGCGCATACATTGTGTGACAACTACCTCCCTTTAATCTGCTGAGTAAACATTCATCATCGGAAATTGAAATTGAAACCACAGCCTATCTTATGCGATGCAAACACATGTGACATAATTCATGGCATTGCATTGTAGGTAAATGTACCCTGATTCATAAGCATGTCATCACATCTGTACCATAGCAGTAGTTTCATTTGATAATTTCATGGAATCATGTTACTTTGCATGTGGTTTCACAAACATATAATGAATCCGAGTGAATCCTTGAATATATCTCGCATAAGAATCTGAAAACACTTAAAAATATCATCATAAAGCACAACCTAAAATCATTTAACCTCTGCCCCAATAGACTATTTTCCGTTCACTGCGAGAATCACGCGTTATGCATGAAATCGAACGTAAAAACAGGACAAACAAAGGTCATAGCGTTGTAGTGGCGTCAAACATCGGGTGGGATTCGACAAACGCGAAAGTATTTCAGGGACATTTCTATGCTTAATAATGTGCTGTACACATTTCATGATAGGCAATTTCGATTAAGTAAGGGTATTCGGAAGCAATATTCCTTTGTCGAGTTACGAAATAAAGAAATTCTAGTTCAAAATCAAACTAGACTTTTGCGGCAGACGTTCGACGCGCGTCTTTCATACATCTCGCGAGATCTCGCAATTGTACGGAAAATCACCTATACTAGCGTACATATTAGCCCAACGTCATCGAGATAACAAGTTCTATTTATTTATGTACCATAACATTACTGTGTTCACTGGAAAAAAATTAAAAGAGTGTTTGAGTGAATTTGATGTCAATAATCTTGAACGTGTTAATGTTGACAACGTACTTCACTCCATATAAGGGTAAATTTTGAATGTTGGAACAAATGCATATGCGTTTATGGAATGTAAAATTTTCTTGTTTCCAGTGCTAGATGCATTAATTATTCCCTGGATTTTAATTTCGCCAATTTCAGTGATAAGTAAAATCGGCTAAATTAAATCTACGTGAACATGTAAAATAATAATAAAACTCATTGTTTCTTTGACAAATGTGTGCAATTGAAACATGGTGAATATGCTCAAAACATTAAAATAGTGAAATTAAATGTCAGTGAATATAAATGGTTTTATACTACCGGTAATTTGAGGTTATTACGAGGATACCACAAAGTATGCACGAGGTCAGTACAGTGAGAGTATCGGCCGACATGCACCAAAATGTGTACTTTCTAAATGCATACTTTGCAGTATCCTCGTAATAACCTTATTATTATACATCCTCTCATCCTGTTTTATGTGAATGCCGAAATCCAAAAAGTTTAGATCAGATTTAGTGAACTTTTTTGTGTGGGGTCTGGTCAAATAAAGACTTAAGATGCGGTGTATTCTGCTGCTGTAAGGCCGCAGGATACACCGCATCACTCATGAAAATAACTTCCATACGCAACGAAAGCCAAGAGGAGGGTGTGGAGTTCTGTCATATTATGGACAGGATACAGCTTTTGCAACCTGAGCTTCCAGGTGTGCGTAAGCCGAATAACAGAGGGCAACAAAAGCTGTATCCAATCCATAAAGGTTTTATTATATACCTTATCGGTGTAATTCCAATTTCATCATGGCGTGACTTCAAATACGCAGCGTAATTTAGAATGACATACTTTGTTTTGAATGATAAAAGCCAAGAGTGCTGGGGCCAGGTGTGATAATGAAGATATCATCATGAAATGAACAAATTTGGGAGTGTTCCACATGTAGTACATATATATGCAATATATACTAATATAAATATATATATATATATGTAATATCAAAGCAATCGGACTTGCGGTTTTTAACAAGAAGTCAAAAATATCACTTTTTACTAATAATGACAAAAATTGCACCGATGCATCGTCCCTCATCGTGTAGAAGGACGGTGCCCGATGTGAGGGCGCACTTCCCATAGCGTTACAAGGCTGAGCAATACGAGGTACATGTATATGATTATAAATCTTAATTAACTTGCAGGTTGTACAGAGGAATACGCTGCGATGATATCGTATATTGAGAGTAGACACAGCGACACACACATGATAGCGGCTGGTTTCAGTATGGGCGCTAATATCGTTCTCAAATATCTTGGGGAAGATACTGAGCGACAGGATAAATTTTTGTGTGGCTTATCGCTCTGCCAGGGTTACGACTGCTTCTTGTAAGTATAGTACATTTGTCGAGCGGAGCTTATCATATGAGTGATTGTTCGTCAGTGTCAATGTTTTACTTGTTCGACTTCTTCTTGAAAACTATAAGCCTGAATGCTTTGATACTTGGTGTATATGTACCTTGGGTAGACCTCTCTTAGATTTGTTCATTTCATGATGATATCTTCAATTCTCTAATTTTGATTAATATTTTTGGTAAAAAGTGATATTTTCGACTTCTTGTTAAAAACCACAAGTTTGATTGCTTTTATATTACATGTATATAGGTACTACATGTGGACCTCTTTCAGATTGTTAATTTTGTGGTGATATCTTCAATTATCTAATTTTAATGATTATTTTTGTCATTTTTGGTGAAAAGTGATATTTTTGAATTCTTGTTAAAAACAGCAAGTCTACATATTGTTCATTTTCTAATGATAACAGCAGAGCTATCTCAGGCGAGAGGCTGCTTGTTTTATCACAAATTCACAAAATACAAAAGTAGTCTGCACTTTCCTTCGTAAGATTGGGACAAAAATAGCAAAAAAAATTTGAGTAAAAACTGAGAATTGACTCCAATTTTGTCTGCTGGCACCAAAATTAGGATTTATTTTCAGAGATATTGAAGAATATAAGAAAACAGAAAAATTTGATCGAGAAAGTCTGGTGGTAAAGAGATTGAAGCTGTTGGTTACCATTAAAAATTACGAGTCGATTTCTTTGACTTTTACTGTTTTTATGCTGTTGCTCGCAAAATCTTGATAAAAGCTGTGATCACTGAAGCACCTCTTCCACAAACATGTGTCAAACACCCATGAAAATAGTGTATAGAAAAAATATAATAGTGAAAATCTGTATTTTTAACCTTATTATTATACATTTTTTCCTTCCAAGGATACATTGTACATCATGGGAATGCCAAAATGCCAAAGATTTAGCGAACTAATCTGTATGTGGTTTGGTAAAACCCTGGGGGCTGCCATGTTTATTTTTAGTATTAGAGGATGCTTACGTACGTAATCATTCCATATTTGGAATTCACATTTCCTAATATGGTATGATGTATTAGAATATGTTTTAACATGATCTCTGCTATTCACTATTCATAGGGGTAAAGATTTCTTGCACCGCTGGGAAAGTCTGCGTAGACTTTACAACTTTGCCATGACTGAGAATCAGAAGCTGGTACTGAAACGAAATAAAGACATGCTGTTCGGGGCAGGGGCTAAGGCTTACTACCTCAAAGAAGGAAAGAAACCGCCAGAGTATGACCTTGAAAATACATTTGAAGCGACAAGTCTGATGCATATAGATGATAGTTTTACCAGGTAAGCATGCTCAGCACTCTCCCTTGTGAAGTCTTCGGGTTTATGACCTGACCTAGGGAGCCGCAGAGAGCTGCACCTAGTGGAACGTTCCTTGCGACTACCTAGCATAGTGATAAAGAAAAACATAGTCTCTGTGAAGGAGAATGCATGCTCAGCACTCCCCCTTGTGGAGTCTTCGGATTTATGACCTGACCTAGGGAGCCGCAGAGAGCTGCAACTAGTGGAACGTTCCTTGAGACTACCTAGCATAGTGATAAAGAAAACCATTGTCTCTGTGAAGGAGAATGCATGCTCAGCACTCTCCCTTGTGAAGTCTTCGGGTTTATGACCTGACCTAGGGAGCCGCAGAGAGCTGCACCTAGTGGAACGTTCCTTGCGACTACCTAGCATAGTGATAAAAAAAAACATAGTCTCTGTGAAGGAGAATGCATGCTCAGCACTCTCCCTCGTGAAGTCTTCGGGTTTATGACCTGACCTAGGGAGCCGCAGAGAGCTGCACCTAGTGGAACGTTCCCTTGCGACTACCTAGCATAGTGATAAAAAAAACCATAGTCTCTGTGAAGGAGAATGCATGCTCAGCACTCTCCCTTGTGAAGTCTTCGGGTTTATGACCTGACCTAGGGAGCCGCAGAGAGCTGCATC